GAGAACGGAACCGCAGAGCAACGACCAAGAAATTGCTCCATTTTTGAACCGAAGAAACGATGAACTGCTTACTGCAGCTGTTCCTGCTCGTTCTTCACAACCTACACCCGTGTTCACTGACACCACAGTGTCAAAACAGGAGGTTTGTCATAGTATTCTGACGTTACATTCAACAGCTTTAAGAGATACGAGTTCCGCTGACCTTACAAAACTTGCCAGTGAATACGAGAGGTTGGTCAGGCTGTTTGACTCACTTAAGAAAAAGTCACTCAATGGACAGACGCCCCTTGAATTACAGTGGAAGGTAACTGTTGCTGGCAGTATTGTTTTTTATGAAATCTAATCAGTAATAAGCTGATAATTTGTATCAGTGCCAATCGCGTATTAGCCTTAATTTTGATAATGGCTGAGATTAAGAACTAAACTCAGAAGGGGGATATCTTACATAACCGAAGCACGACTGTACAACGGACAGGAAAAACGGAAAAAATATTTTCTTAGAGAAGAAAGTCATCGTTGAAAAGTCATGCCTGCTCATTTTCGGCAGCACTTGTATTTTTTCTGTGGGCTCACTGTGAATGTGATCGTACCTGAAATTTATAGGAATAAACTTGCAGCCAAGGCCTTAAACCATGAATATGTTTGGCGATTTAATCTCCCTTGTGTTACGTTCTTAGAAATGATGGCGTTTTTTAGAATACAAAATGAATATTATTTCCTTTATATTTTTAAATCTGTTTTAAGATTCTGAACTTCAATGACAGAACTAAATTCGCCAAAGAACTCAACGATTGTATTTTACTTCCTTTTTCATTCATTTTTACAGTTTCCTTATATGATTAGTATCATTTCAATATTTTTCATAATGTTACGGGGCGATGTCTTTTGGAGGCCTTGCCATTGGCCTTCTCAGCCAGGGAGTAAAGCACAAAAAGTTGTACGCCAAGATTCAGCAGCGTACTTTTCCATCGGTTTTACGTATCAGTATCATGTATGGTATTGTAACAGTGAGATTTGTGATCGCTTTATTTCGAGAATGAGGCTATCCATAGCTGCTTTGTTCTGAACCATTCTCACGTTATCGAGCTAACAATCTTTCGAAAAGACCTCGTTTCAGCTGCTTGTATCCAGAATCGCACTCTTTCTGTCAATATCGAACATTCATGACTATAAGTATGGCGGATGCTTAGACGGATTTGAGATTGATATCTTCACACTTATATTCAGCTCTTTTATTGTCACAGACCGATTTATTGCCGTATCCATATGCCGTACATTCACGTTTTGCCTGCCGTCACTGTGAATGTTACTCCAAGATACGTGAACATTTCGACCTGCCTCATTTGCGCTTGTCCAGCCTGCGGACCACAATGACTGGCCTTTTCGAAAGTACTGAACCTCAGTGTTGGTGGGGCTGATCTTAATCCTGATTTCATTGCACGTGGCGGCTGCATATCTGTTGTATACACGTGATCAATGATCAATGTGTGACCACGCTAACGTGAAGAAATCATCTGTAAACGACAATTGATTTAGTCATCCGCAGTCCCTGTTTCCAAGTTATCCATGCTTAGATTAGATTAACTGATCCGTATAAACTATTAAAAAGAGGATGCAGCACAACCCTTTACTGCTTCAAAAGACCTTCATTCCCAGACGCAGACTACTTATCAGTCGTGGAAGAATTTTATAACCTCCAGTAGCTGATCATCTACATTCCATTCTGTAACATCGTTCACAGGTTCGGGACTACCTGTTTGAAGCAATTGGGAAATGTCTAGTTACAGCGTCGATCAGAGAGATTGCCTGCTGTTGTTGTTGACATTAATGTTAGTCAGTTTTTCAGCTCTTCGATGACTGTTTATCCTTTCGGGTCGCGAAGGCAAGCGCGTCAGACAGTATCACCATTGTTCCCGATCCTGTGCCAGCGTTTCATTTTCAACTGAAGTTAACCCCAATCTGGAACAGAGCCTGTCGAAATACCTATTCCAAGTTATTCTTAGCGGGCTGGTCGTCTCCGAGGTCCTCGGTCGATCTTTCGGTAGCTGATTTGCTTTCCTTTCTAGACATATTCGCAACACATGCCCAAACCCTCGCAGATGTGACTTCTCAGGAGAAGCAGCGGCTGTATGTCAAGATTATTTTGAATGTCTGCCCTCCGTATTGTGTCAAGACGTGCGAGCCCTGCGTCTAGTCTCAGAAAGCCCTTTTCAGCTACTTCTACCCGAAGTTTGGATCGAAATTTTTCAGTCATGGACCACGACTCATGCCCATAGGCTTGCATGGATATGAAGATTGACTTGAACATACTTGAACACTTATCGACTTGAATTTGAACTAATAGTCTTCAGACTCAGCTCTGCTTTAGTCACACCGGCTCAGGCCACTTCACGCCGAACCCCGCTGGCCACTCCAATTCGTCGGTGCATCTCTTCCTCTCTCTTTCCATTACCAGTAGGCACTGAGGTATGTGAATTACCTCACATGTTCCACTGCTTCTGAGTTCATCTGTAGAACGCAACGGGCAGGAGAACGAGAAAGTATTAGGCCATTCTTTTTAAATACGATAACATGCATGCCGGTCACGTCGCACTTGGCTCTGAACCGTTCCAAAGAGTGCCGGAGATCTGTTTCACACGTTTACAACAGAACAAGGTCGTCTGGAAACATGGAAACAGCAACCTTGTCTATTCCACATCTCCTACGCTGATACACTCACCGCACTGACTTCGCCTGTCTGTTCTATCCATGTGCAGCACATATTGGCATGGGGACAGAACGCAGAATTTGCGAAGACCAATCGCTGAAAAGCCTTGTCTTCACGTGATTTACTGATACAGCACTTTCCATCAGCATATAGTGATTGGATGGCGTGTGACAACTGGCCATCGATCCCGTATGTTTGCGGACAGGCCCACCTCCTGCTGCACAGGATTTAATCATAGGTTTTCTTCAGGTCAACAAAGCACATGTGAACCGGATAGGCGAATTTCCACGATTCTTCATCAACCTGGCGTAAGATCTGCTCATTGATGTTTCAGTCTGACAGGAAGCCACACTGTTGTTCCTGCATTTTGGAGTCAGTTATTGCGCGATGTCTCCGTTCTAGCACCCTTGCCTGGAATTTTTCCAGGAGGCTCGATAAAGTAATTCCTTCATAATTGTAGCATTCCCAATAGGCTCCCTTTTCGAGCAGGACTGATACGATCCCCGTTCTCCAGTTCACTTGTGTGTGTCTTCCCCGTACCCATTGCAGTTTGGCAAACTTGTGTTCGCCACGACATGCCTTGTTTGCCTGTAGCTTTAGGCGACTTAGGGCGGATTTCATCGATTATAGTTATCTTGCCACTTTTCAAGTTTCTTACAACTTTTATGACTTTATCTACTGAAAAACCTATATTCGTTGCTTAATGTTCTTCAAGAGAATCTTCAAGCAGTTGTTCTTGGTTAAGGAGTTTCTCATAGTTCTCTCCGTCACCGAAGTATTTTTTATCCTTTGTAAGAATACGTATGAAGATCTGTGACAATTTCCGACTTTGAGCTCCTTCTATTGGTATCATTCCTCTGGAGCAGTATTTGACGTGCTATAATGGCATCGTTCTGTCTAATTACTCCGTTCAGAAC